TATAGAACCTTATGTAAGTCAAGTCAAGCATCAATATATTGGTGTTAACAAAAGTTCTTCTTTTTTTGTTGAACTGTAACAATTTCCTGTCAGCCTTAAAATCGAAAATATGTCAGATGGATCATTAGTCATCTACCATACATTTGCAATTATGATTCAAAACCATTGAGGATGCCACATAAAGTTTCATTGAAAAGGAGAAGGAAGATGCTAAGTTTGCATGGTTTTCTAGTTATAATTCCTTTCTATGTTTGTTTCTAAAAATCCTTCCCTAGTTAAATTAATAATGCATAAAGTGCTTAAAGAAACAATTTGTAAAATGGGATGCCAAGAATTTCCATTTGCTAACGCACCTGTATGGAGAAGAATGTAAGCTTTTATGTGCAGATTCAAAGTTCTTTTTTTTTTTGTCATCTGTCTTCTAACTTGTTTCCGTTCTTTCAGCTACATCAATTGATGCCTTCTATTATTACTTGCCTTGTTGCAAAACGACTGGGAAACAGATTATCCGACAATCATTGGGACCTTAGAGACTTCACAGCTAACATTGTGTCTTCAATATGCAAGAGGTGAGATTTCATTTTTCTTTATTTTATGGTAGAGCTCTCTCTTAAATGTAACTTTTGGACCATCACCAAGGCAGAAATGCATTTGGAGATTTCCTTCAATATGTCACTCCCACTCTCAAAGCACATGGTTGGTGCCTTGTACTGTTTGAAAATTGATACATTTGTTGTAGAACGAGTTTTGCAGATGTAAATGTAATCACACATGGTGCATAATTAGTGTAGACATTGAGATGATCATATCATGGCCTTGTTGGACCTTCTTCCATTCTTAGATACTCCATAAGTAGGTTACACTTGAAGTAAAGCCAAGATCAGTGTCTTTTCAGTTAAATATTACTACTTTGCTCAACACCAGATTCTGGCCAGTTGTCCATGGAAGCTTATTTGGAAAAGCAGAGCTTCCTCCCATGTGGCCTTATTTGTTTGGGAGGCCTTTGGGGGCCCATATTCTTTGCGTCAATAACCTGCAGAAGAGGGACTGCTTTATTGCCAATGGGTGCCTGATGTGTTTGTGTGATAAATAATCGCTGAACGATCTCCTTTTATGGTGCTTGGAGGGAAGAAGGATATAGGGTTTGGGTCTAAGTTTATTGGAGATCAAGTGGGTGACAAGCAGATTCATTTCAAGGTCAGTTGCTTGCATCTAGGTGGCATTCAAATAGAAGAGCAGCCTGAATTCAGTACCATTATTCCTCGTGCTATTTTTGGATTATTTTCTAGAGGAACGAAAATGAGAGTCTTCGAAGGGGTTATATTTAATTTTGCTGGCTCTGGAGATCATTGGTTCCAGATTTTAAATATGTTGCTTAAAAGTCATTATCTTCTTTACAGAGATCTTGGGGAACCTACAGATATTTTGTTTGATTTTATACATAGATAGTACCCCCTTGTGGCCCTCGTCTATGATGCTTCTTTTTTCTCTCTCCTTATTTCCGATAACCTATGTGCTAAACTTTCTTGTGCTCTTCTGGTTGTATTTCTTGTGAAAATTTTGCAGATATGGTCATGTTTATCATAATTTACAACCACGTGTGACAAGGACACTGCTCCATGCATTCTTGGACCCCACAAAGACACTGCCTCAACATTATGGTGCAATTCAAGGGTTGGCTGCTCTTGGTCCCAATGTGGTATATTCAGTTCTAAGTGTTTTTGCCAGCAAATTAACTGTTACATGGAATTTAATAGCAGTATAGATCAGTAAATAACTATCTAAAACTCTTATACAAAGTATGATATAAAGGAAAACTGTAGTCAATCGTTAAGTATGTTCTGCATTGAGCTGTAGTTATTTTCGTGATTGTTTTGTTGTGTTTTCATAACTTCCTCTCGTGCCAGAAAGTGTCTTTTTTTCTTTTTTAATGGGAATAGAAAATGGTCTTTGTGATTCTTAACTAAATGTCACGCTTTTGATTCTGGCCAGGTTCGTCTTCTTATACTTCCCAATCTTGAGCCATATTTGCAACTTCTTGAACCTGACATGGTCCTTGAGAAACAAAAAAATGAGACGAAGAGATGTGAAGCTTGGCGTGTTTATGGGGCCTTGATGGTGAACTTTATTTTTCTAACTACATACGTATTTTTGCTGCTTTATGGAACTAACGAGTATATAACCTCCAGGGTGCTGCTGGTCTATGCATGTATGATCGGCTTCGGCATAAAACATTACGTGGTTTGCTTTCTCCTCCAACGCGTGCTATCATGAAGAGCAAAGAAAAATTTGCAAATATGATGCAAAGTATACTTTCTTTATAACTTGTTGCATCTCAGTACTTATGAACATCTGCTTTTATGTTTATAGATGCTAGTTGCTCGTGCAGCATGTCATTAATGACATAGGTTCAATCATTGTGGTTTGGCTTTTTACATTCAACAATAAAAAATCATTGTGGTTTGGCTTTTATTGCTGCTCCATTCTTGTTAATTTTTTATGACAATTCAGTGCTTTGTGGTTTGATTTTTTGTCATTGTACAAAAACTTTAGTATATTTGCACATGTTTGGATTTTGAACATGATTATATGTTATGGTTAAACAATATAGTTATAAGATAATAGTCTAGAGATATAAGAACTTCAGGTAAAATGACAAAAGTAGTGTAGATTCTTAATTGCAATAAGATCAAACCACGGGCTGTGAACTGATCTTTTACCCTATTGTTACACTATCCTTATGTTATGTTCTAAATTTCATTTTGGCAGTTGCTAACACTCTTAATTTTCCCTGCATTCCCTTGTTGTTACCCGGGTTTCCGATGAAAGATAAACGCAAAGCAGGTATGGATAACTTAATCCAGCAGCCACCACTCAAGAAGATGGCCACAGACAGCACAATGGGTGTGATGCCAGTGAACTCCATGTTGGTTGACATTCATGGGGGAAAAGGTGGATTTCCCTCTTCTGGGGGTGCTCCTAATGTAGCTGTATCTTCAGTATCTCAGCAACTACCCAATGAAAACATGAGCGGAAGGGACACAGGTGCTCGGGTTTCGAGGGCATCAGCTGTTCTAGCTCAGGCATGGAAGGATGACGTTGATGTAGGAAACCTGTCGGGTTCCTTGTTTGAATGTTTTGGTGAAAGAATGTTTATATTCACTCCCAAGCCTGAATTGTCATTCTTCTTGTAACATAGCGGGGCAAAAATAGTGTAAATGATGTATTAAGACCTTTTTAATGCTTTTTAACCATTAGTTTTATCGTTATGTTATCTTTGTATATTCTGCTTTGCAACAAACAGTAAAATTATGTATTCAATATATGTTACTTCTTGATTTTAGAGTGCCCCTTGTTATCTTTCTTGAATGAGTGAGTGAGATTATTATTGTTTTAAAAGCCAAGAATTCCAATAAAAAATACAAAGTTGGTGTCTAAAGGGATTTTTTAATCTATCCATCAGACATCATTTTGGCTAAATTTATGTTTTTCAGATTACCTTCCTTCTTTGTTAAACACAAATCATTTGTGCTGAAACTAAAAAATTTATAAATGACAATAATAATAATAATAAGAGAAGCTCTTACTGTTGTCCTAAGAATGTTAACCTTCAAGCTGAATTTAAGATATTAAGACTTGTTTATCAACAAATTTGATCCCTTGAAGATGCAATATCCAAAGGAACCTCGGTAACTTCCTTGTACTTTTGAAGTCCACTAACAAAGAAAGTTGGAAAAAATTCAAGCCTTTAGTATGAAACATAATACTAAAGCCATCTTTGCCAAATTCCTGGGCAGCCATCATTGGGACTTGAACTAACATTGTATTTTACTGATCACTGGTAGTACCAGTGTCCTTCCTTGCTCGAGTCACCAGTGCTTTCCCATAAACAAATATTCAAAATAATATAATAAAAAAGATAAAAATTATTAAATTAATTCTTTTAACACCTATTACAATTTAATTTTTAATAAATTTTTATTATATTTAGTATTTAATTTTTTCTATTTATTTAAAACATTTAATTTTCTTCTATTTTCTATAATTATAACATGTTTAAATATTTTTTAAATTTTAAAATATCTAAGTATAATCTAACTATTTTAATTTTTTTTATTATAAAATAAAAAAAAAAAGAACTAAATCTTTAAAACAATCAAATTGTAATTAAAAATTAAATTATGAAAAATTTTAAATCACGGTGACTAATTTAATAATCTACCCTAAAAAAATCATCATTTTACTGCATCCTGCTCCTCTAAGCGTACAAAAGATTAATTTTCTATATGGCACATAGCAACACCTTCAATACATGTCACTATTACAAGCAAACATGGACAAAAGGTAAATGATGGTAGGCAAACAAAGACTCCAAATTCATTAAAACATGGTTAAAGTACAGATCTCCTTTTTTCATTCCAGGAGTAGATCTTTGAGCAGTCTACCTATTGATCCTTTCACCATCACAGCAGACCATCTTCACCATGCTGACTCTGTGTATCCTGTTCATCGGTTCCAGCCTGAAGGGTGTGATAAACTGTAAGAATATGAAAATTCGTCTACAAAAAATAATCGGGTGCAGGTTTCTTCGCAGGAGTTCCTCTTGAATCCTGCATCAAATACAATTTCTCAGTGCAACTGCAGCATGTACTGAAAGTAAGCGCATGTTTACAAGTCACCATAATACTGTCCGCTATTATGTATTTTGGTGCTAGACAAAGTTGTAACTTACAAAATTTAAGACAAAATTTTCTTAACCTAAGTACATATTATTAGTCATGTATAAAGTCACATGTATTGTACTTCAATTCTACCAAACGCTATATTAAGAAACAGTTATTAACCGACAGGAGGCATGGACAATAAAGACTACTCTGCTTTTAAAATGCAGACAGCTAGAGCAGCAAAAGACAAGGGCTCTTCTTGCCATGTCACTAAAGTATCACAGTTGCAATGGCCTATAAGCTATGAGTTCATACCTGTGGTGCTGCATCAAATACACGGAACTGCTTATTGAGATTCTCATCCAGCTCAAGGATAGCAGCTACATTGCCGCATCTGAAACACATCAAATAATGAAGCTGTGGGACTGCAGGAAGGATAGAGAGAGAGAGAGAGAGAGAGAGAGAGAGAGAGAGTATAAAATTTTGGTTTTGCTAATTTACCTATAACAGTAATTCGGGGCCGACCAGACAGTAACTATCTGGTTATTGAACATCCACTTATACCCTTCCATAACCAATTGATGGGCGCGACATATGTAGTCAATGTTGTTTGAATGGTTGAAAGAAGTGACAACACTACCGCCAAAAAGGAAACCAGCACCACGCGGGCTCAAGCCCCAACCATCCACAATATCTTCAGGATCAGACCATAGGAGGTCACACATGGCACCGTCGTGAGGCACTTCCTGCTTTCGATCAATGGTTCGGATCTGGTAACAGGATCCTGTCAGTAGCATCCAACATAAAAACTTTCAAGAAATCACCAAACAGCTAGGATGAGTGCTTTGACCTGATCTAAAGTTGATATTGCTGGAGAGAGACCACCATGGACACTAAAAATTCTGTTCTCAATGAGAGCTGAAAGACTAAAAACCAAGCACCAATTTTAAAGGCTGTGAGTGGCAGAACATAAATTCTGAGCAGATCTGATAGCAACTAATTCAGAAAGAAACTAAGGCAATGTGATGAAGAACTAAGAAGACCAACTTGAAGAGGGTGAATGAAAAATTTAGTAATCACTTAAATGGGAGAATGTTGTTGATCCTGACTCAGAATATAAAGAATGAAAATTTTAGTGCTCCTGATTTCAGCACATACCAATGCAGAATAAAAACCTATCACCTATTAAATCGGCTAACATGGCTCAAGAGCAGAATGCTCAATAGCTGCATAAACGAGAGTTATAAAAGGGAACTGCTAAAAATTTGACATTTAACGTATGTAAAATAAATGTAAAAAAAAAAGGCATAGAAGAGCAAGTCCTTCAGGGATACAAGTATCAGGTAAACAAATATGGAGAAAGAAATGCATAGTAAAAGTTTTTTTTTAAGAATCATAAAAATCACCTCAAATAATCGAATATATCTGTACAATATCTCCAGACATTCACAGAGCCATATTTACGTAGGCACTCATCATAGAATCCATATACCTGTTAAGATAAACAACTTATAAATATTCTGCACAGATGACATATTGAAACACCTCAATTGCAGAGACTAGTTGAACCTGTGTAATCTGCCGGCTCTCATGGTTTCCCCTAATGAGTGTTATCCGGTCTGGATATCTCACCTGATAGAGCAAATTATGATTATTAGCTGAAGTTTTTAGGACTCCAATATAATGATCCCCATGAATGAATAAACATTGGAATACAGATGGATATTATCACATATTCCTAAACCACAGATGCCCATAAAATATCAGCTGGAAATCAAGCAGGGCAAAACAGCCCAGAAGAAGATGCTGAACTGACCCAAAAGGTCAATAAACTATGTCGGTAGACATTTTCAGGGGCAACATATTATAACAGTACCAAATGCAAAG